AAAACTTTACAGCAGAAATACCTATACGGGGGGAGGGGCCGGTGTCCTGCAGGTTTCAGATGTGTCCTTGATCCAACACAGCTGATTTAAATGGCTAAATGACCTTCTCAACATGTCTTGAAGTTCTCCAGAGGCCTGGTAATGAACTAATCATATGATTCTGGTCTGTTGACCCAGGGTGAGATCTGAAATCTGCAGGACACCGGCCCTTGAGGTTGGAGTTCCCCACTCCTGCTCCAAAGCCTAACCTGTCGCTGCCATCGGACAGGTGTTTTTTTAAAAATATTTTTTTTTACTTCATTTGAAGGATTTCAGCTGTTCCTGAAAGCAGCGACTCTTCACTTCTTCAGTAAAGTTGGAGTCATTACGATAACATCAGGCAGCCCTGCAAAGACAGAGGTTGGCTGAGAGAAGAGAGAGTGAGTGAGTGTGATGGAGCTGTAGACATTTTATCAGTCATATGGGTTCTTGAGTTCTTTTTACCATCTTTTTAAAATTGTTTTGTTTTTGTTGTTTTCTGTGTTATTTGCCGAGATTTGGATGTTGCGACTTGCAACGCAAGCGCAGAGTTGCTGCTTTCAGGAACAGTTGGAATTTTGCAATTGAGCCAGTGGTTAAATGGTTAAAGTTTGACCTAAAACCAATGGGAGTGCCCGCGCTCCCATCAGTTTTAGCGGGTTAAGGGGAGACCTGTTACGCTCTGATGTGTGTCGTGTCCCTGCAGGTCTGCGGACCTTCCGGCTCAGGCCTACCTGTAATGGGACAACTCTGAAGGAAAAGCAGCTGAAGGAGATCCAGGCTCCAGCCACCAACCTGTACCTGCCCATCCTCTACCTGCTCGCCTTTGTGGTCGGTCTGCCCTCCAACTTGCTGGCTCTCTGGGTTCTGGTGTTCCGGACCAAACAGCTGCCGTCCACCACGCTGCTCATCAATCTGACGGTGGCCGACTGCCTGCTACTCGTGGCGTTGCCATTTCGGATCGTCTACCACTTCCGGGGGAACAACTGGGAGCTCGGCGAGCCCTTCTGTCGCTTTGTCATGGCGATCTTTTACGGCAACATGTACGGCTCCATGTGGTGTCTGGCCTTTGTGGCCCTGGACCGATACATTGCTTTGGTCCACCCATTTCGTGCCAGGACTCTGCGCAGCCAGCAGGTGTCTCTGTGTATGTCAGTGGTGGTGTGGACAGTGGTTCTGGTTGCAATGCTGCCACTGCTGCTGTCACGGCAGACCTACGAAGTCAGCACGCTGCAGATCACCACTTGCCACGATGCGCTTCCAGAGGATGAGCATGAGAACTACTTCTTGCTGTATTTCGCCACCCTGTTTGCCACCTGCTTCCTGCTACCCTTAGCCATCGTCCTGTACTGCCACAGCACTGTGTTGCGCACATTGCTGGCCGGGGAAAAATTCTACGGTCACGCCATCCGGGTGACGGTACTGGTGCTGCTGGTCTTCATCGTGTTTCTGCTGCCGAGCAACATCCTTCTCCTCCTCTCCTATGCTGACAGCTCACTGGACGGAGATGGAGAGGACCTCTACATGCCCTACATGGTGAGCTTGGCGGTGAGCACCTTCAACAGCTGCATCGACCCGTTCATTTTCTACTACGTGTCCACGGAGTTCAGGCAAAAGGCCAAGAGCACTTTGTGCTGCCACTGCGATTCTGAGGATAAAACATACTCTCTGGTCAAGAATATGTCATCTTTATCATCAGGCCCAAGGTCAAAGGTCACCCTGCTGTCCATGTCCAGTCGACAGAGGCCACCTGAGATGCCATGCAGCTCCCAGGAGAACAGAGTAA